AAAAAAAAAAAAAAAAAAATCCACAGTTCAACTTTTGAACAATTAGCTTTGTACATCTAAAAGCACTTAATTTTTACTTTCGTACATTAACAGACTTGCGTTTGGGGTTATACACTGAGCTGTGTGTGTGTGTGTGTGTGTGTTACTGGGGATTGATCCCAGGGCCTTTACACTAAGCCACATACCTTGCCCTTTTTAATTTTCTATACGGGGTTGAAGTAAGGTGCTCAGGCTGGCCTTGAATGTTCCATTCTCTGGCCTCCCAGAGTGCTGGGGCAGTAGGTGCACGGCACGTCTGGCCAAGCTACACATTAATTACTACGGTATGCTGCATTGACCTGTGTAGGGGACTTCCTTCTTCAGGTGGGAACTGAAATGCTTCTGTGACCTGTGTGGCAAGTGGAGGAACCATGAGTGGTGTTATAAGGCACTGTGAGCCATGAGACTTCCTATTATGACATTACACTGTCTCCTGTGTGGCTTTCATATTTCATTATGTCCAAAGCTTGCTCTTTTGGAGGATATTTATTTTTTCTGAAACCAAGCTGTAAATTCATCTATACACAGTATTTATTACTATGTAGAACACACACACACACACACACACACACACACACACACTTATCATTAACTATGAAGCTGCTTCGCCTCATTTTGTTCTGTGGTACTCGGGAACCAACCTTGTCATGCACTCCAGGCAGGTGCTCTACTGCTGACTACCCCCTTGGCCCTCATATTTTTTGAAAATGCAATTTTTGTTTGAGACAATGTCTCAAACATGTTTGCGATGGCCTTGAACGCTCTATGTAGCCCAGGCTGGCCTTGAACTTGCCACAATCCTCTTGCCTCAGTCTCCTGAGTCCTGCAATTACAGGAATGTGCCCCCACCCCCAGCTAAAAAAAAAGTGATGTGTTATATATAGAACATCTAGTACCTTAAGAGGGCATTTTGCTCCTTCGATACTAGGGAGAGTAAAATGCTCTCAACTAAATAATGCCTTCAGCAGCAATTCCTGCCTTCAGCCTGCCAGGTGTTGCTTAACAACAGTGATGATCTGAGAAACGCTCAGCAGGCAGTTCCGTTGGTGCCTGGACTTCCTAGTGCAGACTTATACAAACCCAGATGCTGCAGATCAGTCACTCAGCGAGCCTCTGGATGCAATCAAGAGACTCCGACTCCATACACAGGTGACTCCGAGGCTGCTGCCGAGGTTACACAGCATAAGATTTTACAGTCATCTGGTTTTCATACAGAGGACTAAAGCCCAAAGGTAAAACGTATAGGACAGTGAATACACACCATTAGCACAGTGGTTTATTACCATTTTCACTAGACTACACTGTACATCTTTCATCGGACCTGCCGCCAGCACAGTAGGTTTGTATACACCACTGTCGCCACAAACACGTGAGACACGCATGGAGCCACCACCTTTGGCCGCAACATCGCTAGGCAATAGGAAGTGTTCAGCTCCATTATAATCTTAGGAGACCACAGTTCACACAATCTGTCCTTGACTGAAATGTGCTTCTGCGGGGCAGTGTAGGACTTTTCTCAACAGTTGTTGGAAAGTAATGGGAGTTTCCTAAATGCCCCCAGGCTATTGTTTCACAGTGGAAGGGACCCACAAAGCAGGTGGAAGCTATCTTTTCTTGGCTTGCTAGCCAAAGAATTTGAGAATACACATTCCTCAATTGCTTTTTAGCCAGCCAGAAGTCTGTTACAGGATTAGGCTTTGAAATGGTGATGTTGGAAAGTTTTAACCTAGGGGCTCTGTAGGTTTAAAATACTATATTCGCTCCAGTTATGCTGGCACACCCCCTGCAATCGCAGCACTCTAGAGGCTGAGGCAGGAGAATTGCTACAAGTTTGACACCAGCCTAGGCTAGTGAATTCAAGACCAGCCTGAACTACATAGTGAGACCCTGTTTAAAATAACAAAACAAAAAATAAAATACTACATTGTTTCTTTGCTCCTTTATTTTGTTGTCTTTTTTAAAAATTTTATTTATTTATGTGTATGTGTGGCCAGCTCAGCCCACCAGGGGGCAGGCTGGCTGGCATATGGTGCTGGGGGATTGAACCGCGGTCGCTGTGCTTTAGCTAAGCTTGTTCTAAGTAGGTGCTTTAGACCACTGATCCATCTCACCAGCCCTATTTTGTTGTCATATGTTGTTTTTTTTGGGGGGGTGACAAG